GTCCACATCTGCCAGAAAACATCTCCAAGGAGAAATGCTGAAGTTCAGGCTGCTGCCAAAGGTAACTTCCAAAAACCACAATGGAGGTCCTGGCAGTAGATGACCTTTCCCTCTTTCTAGGGGCAACAGATTTCACTGGGGTGCACGTTCTCTGTCCTGGGGAAGCCCAGTGTTGGGGTAGGCTGGGGATACCATGTCTAGTCCCAGGGGCTGGGCTTTGGTTAACCAGCACAGCATCCTGGTCACACTGTGGGTCCAGCGATGAGACTATGATGGAAACTGTCCAATCACGTGACCCTCCACCTTCTTAGGGATTTGCAGACAGGCCCGCCCTGCCTCCTACTGGCTGTGAAGGAGGAAGAAGATGGCTTTGACTTCTACAAGTCCACAAGGGGAACAGAACTCAGGACAAAACGGTCTCTACAAGAGGAAGACAGCTGGAGTTCCCACATCAACCCTCAGGAAAATCTGCGCACCTCTGGACCTCCATTATGGGAGCCACAGAATCCCCTTTGTCCTCTCAGTTGGATTTCTAATTACTTGCCACCTAACAAATCTTTGCTAAATCTGAATTTCATGCCTGGAGGCGAGTGTGGCAAATTCAGAAACTGTAAGACACCAAACTGCCTGGAGAGAAGGGCGTCAGTGGTCTTTAGCCCGGTTTTGAAACAGACAGTTCTTGCTACATGTTTGCAAAATGGTCAAACTGTCTTTAATTACATCTTGGGAAACTGGTCATGTGTCCACTGAGATAGTATCTGGGAACTTAGTAGGGAATGTTCTGAAATGTGTTGGCCACTTTTCATAGCCTCTTGTAAGGTTCTAAAAGGAAAAACAAAAACAAGAAATACAGTTTGGGTTAAAGGTGGACCCAGAGGAATGAGAGCCAATAATCCCTGTTAATCATGACAGAGTCTTCACTGACATGATGACTTTGAACATTTGGAGGTAAAATATCTCTCCTTTAAAAAGCATGAAAGCATTCCTGTTGTGACCTCATTTTTCACCCACATGTATTTCATTATTTTTTTCCTTACTACAGACTTTGAAAACAAAACAGCACCTGGTGTCTAAGGGTCATGATAAGCTCCGGTCTGTGTCTCCTGTAGGAGAGATCAAAACTGCAGTGTTCATATGAGCTGACAATTTTTAAAATGTGTCTTTGGAGACAAAAGCATCACCTTCTTCTACTATTACCATTTGTATTGGTTGGATCTTTTTTAATCATGTTATTTGTTTTGAAATTTCCAGTAACATTAAAGGAAAGCATATGATTTTTTTTTCCCCTCAAAAATGAGGTTAGATTTTGAAGTTTGAGAATATTCTGCTGGAGAATCTGGAAGCAGGAAAACTCAAGCTGCTTGGGTATATTGTCAGAGGGAGCCCAGCACCAAAATAATTGAGAGATCATAGAACAGACAGCAATGTTTGACTGAAGAAGTAAGGAGGAATTCAATTTACCAAGAAAAAAAAATCACTTATCTTTAACTTTTATAGAACCTGTCTATTATAAAAGAAAAAGTAATTGAACTGATTTCCACTTTTAGCCACCTCCCTGCCAAAGTTCTCAAAGCTTGTTTTTTTCTCATGATGATAATACCTGTACTTTGCCTTTTAGTAGCTCCAGGGAGTTTTGCAGATATGATCTCATTAGTCCTGATTCTACCCCTAGATATTTTATGCACATTATCTTGCCTTTGTAAAATGACTGTGCTTCAAAATGGAAAATGACACCAAATCTCCTGCAGCTCTTTTCTTAAATGCCGTAAGTATGTAAATGTGTGCATTCATCTAGGTTGTTGATTGCAAACAACTGAACTCCACGGCAGCTAGCTTAAACAGAAGAGAGCTTTATTAAAAGATACTGAGTAACTCACCGAAATGTGCGGAGAGCAGAGGTTCTGGTTCACAGATTGGCCATCCCAAACCTCATTCATGTGGGGTTCTTGTTAATAGGTTTTACTTTTTAGAACAGTTTTAGATTTACAGAAATGTCGAGCAGAAAGTACAGAGTTCCTATAAGACCTGTACCATTTTCCCTATTAATAAAATCTAATATTAGAATCCTAAAGGAAATCAACCCTGAATTGGATGGACTGCTGCTGAAGCTGACACTCCAATACTTTGGCCACCTGATGCGAAGAACTGACTCATTGGAAAAGACCCTGATGCTGGGAAAGATTGAGGGCAGGAGGAGAAGGGGATGACGAGGATCAGATGGGTAGATGGCATCACCGACTCAATGGACATGAATCTGAGCAAACTCCGGGAGGCAACGGAGGACAGAGGAATCCTGGCGTGGTACAGTCCGTGGTACAGTCCGTGGGGCTGCGAAGAGTCAGACACGACTGAGATACTGAACACCAACGGCATTTGTTAAAAATAATGAACCAATATCGACGCCTACTATTAACTGATGCTTGTAGATCATTCAGATTTCCAGAGAGTCTGCCTCATATTCAATTTCCGCTGGAAAACCCCCTCAGGGATCCCACACTGCGTTCAGTCCTCACGTCTCCTCAGGCTCCTCTCAGCCCTGACAGTTTCTCAGACTGTCCTTGATGGTGATGACCTTGACAGTTTTGAGGAACTCCTCGGGCTAACTGTAGGATGCTCACCTATCAGAATGCGCCTGATGTTTTTCTCACGATTAGACATGGAGGGTGGGCTGGGGGAGGACGGTCACGGAGGTAAATTCCGTTTTCATCACCTCCAAAGGTCCACTCTGTCATCATGACTTACCACTGTTGATGTCAACCTTGGATGCTCGGCCAAGGAAGCATCTGTCAGGTTTTTCTCCTGTCCTATTACTCTTCCCTGTCCCCCTGTCCACTGTGTACTGTTCTTATTTAGTCTGTTTCCAGAGATCAGAGAACTGTAGGTGATAAAGTGCTGCGACCACTAACACCAGCTTCAGGGTCCCCCGGCCACCTGCCTCCCTTGATGCCACCTGCCTCCCCTGATGCCACCTGCCTCCCCTGATGCCACCTGCCCTGGTAAAACACTGGCACCGCAGCTCCATCATCCCTGCGTCTCCACAGGCCCTATCTAGTGCCCTGCACACAGTAGGCGCTTGATGAATCTTTGAAGACTTGGAGTAGAACTGGGTTTTCGCTGAGAGTTAACAAAACCACTCCGGATGCTGGTAGGCGCGTAAGGACAAGAGCTGCAGGAGCCGACCGAGATGGGCTTGGCTGGTGAGTATCCACCCACAGGAGTGGCCAGAGGCCAGGGCTCTGATCTTTTTTCTTTTTTACATCTAAGAGACACAGAGAAATCTGCTGGGCTCTGGTCTTGACTGACCTCGTCCCATTCTGCATTTAAAAATCCAACTTGGCAGAAGTTGACTTAGGTACCTGGGTTTTCCTTACTCCCACCCTGCCCCCTCCCCAACCCCAACCAAGAAGCAGAAATTCTTCCAGGCCCCTCAGGTCAGGGTGGTGGAGTTTATTGTCACAAGGGCAATGAATCTTTTTTGCAACCCATAGGCCGCAGTCCGCCAGGCTCCTCTGTCCGTGGGATTTCCCAGGCAAGAATACTGGAGTGGGTTGCCATTTCCTTCTCCAGGGGATCTTCCTGACCCAGGGATCGAACTCGCATCTCCTGCATTGGCAGGTGGATTCTTTACCACTGAGCCACCAGGGAAGCCATAAAGAAAGAAAGGGAAGTCGCTCAGCCGTGTCCGGCTCTTCGCGACCCCATGGACTGTAGCCTACCAGGCTCCCCCTCCATGGGCTTTTCCAGGCAAGAGTAGTGGGGTGGGTTGCCATTTCCTTCTCCAGGGGATCTTCCCAACCCAGGATCAAACCTGGGTCTCCCGCATTGCAAGCGGATGCTTTACCCTCTGCGCCATCAGGGAAGCCATAGGATCTCCTAAAAGTCCAAGGCCAGGGCATGTGCTGGGCTGGCCCTTGGCCACACTGGAACTGGCCTTGGGGACACCTGTGGCAGGCCATCTCTCTCTTATCTCCCCGTAGTCGCCCGCATCACTGGATTCTTTACCTTGCACCCCACGTCCTTCTCTGGTCCTCCCACCTCCCCTGTCACAGCACTCCAATGGGCCTGGGGCCCCCGTGGCCCTGGCTCCATCAGCTGATGACGTCTTTACCTTGACCTTTAGCTCTGCTGGATGAATTCCAGAAACCAGGAGGTTGATCAACCTGGGGCTCTCTTTGCATCAAGGCCCTCTGTGCCGATCCTTTAGCAGACTACCAGAGGCATTCCTGTTGGGTCAGCAGCCCGCTCACCCTTGGCCAACTCGGCTGAGGCCCAGAAGGTGGTCAGCAAGAGCCTGGAAGGGGGGCAGTTCCCCAAGACAGAGAGCGGGCTTACATGTTACCTGAACACCTAGAAACAGCCTGGCCTAATTCACAGCTGAAATTCAGTCACAAAGGTTTTGGAATTATCTGGAGAAGTCAGAGGGGTGTGTGTGTGTGTATGTGTAGGGAGGTGGGGGAGCAACCAGCAAGGTGGTCCACTGTGAGGTTCTGCCTGCAAACACCTCAACTCCATCACCTCTCCATTCAACTTCCTTCAACCTCCTCCAGGCAAAGCCAGCCTCTGTTCAACCTATTTGCGGGAATCTGCTTTGATAAAACCTACGGAAGCTAACTGTCTACCATGTGCTCCTCCAGGCGGGATTTTATCAGTCTGTTCTTAAAGGCGTCTTTTTGCATGTCTGTGCCTGTGAAGTGGGGGGTGAAAGTGAAAAGTGAAACTGCTAAGTCGCTCAGTCGTGTCCACTCTGCGACCCCAGGGGCTGTAGCCCACCAGGCTCCTCGGTCCCTGGGATTCTCCGGGCAAGCACACTGGAGTGGGTTACCATCTCCGTGTCCAGGGGATCTTCCCGACCGAGGGACTGAAGCCGGGTCTCCTGGCATTGCAGGCGGAGTCGTCCCCGTCTGAGCCACCAGGGAAGTGGGGTGAAGGGACACCGAGCGCGTTTACAGAGACTCCTTGGAGTCAGCGCACCGTCCGCAGTAATAAGGATCAACGCTAACCAAGTGCAGGCAGGACCGCGGGGGGGCCGGCTCCTCCAGCCCGGCTCTTGCCTCCGCCGCGGCGGCAACGGCCCCTTCGGCTGCCAGCATCGCGGGCGCGGGCGGCCGCGTGGGAGCGGCTGTTTGTTCCTTTCCACTCGCACGGCGCACAGCGTGTTCTTCCAGCAGGAACTTTATTCCCTTCTTAGAACCAGCGCTTCCTGGCGGGCGGGGCTCGGGGTCCATCCTCGTCTGCCCTGCTCTCCCTGCTATCCTCCCCCATCCTGAAGCCTCGCTTGGTCCTTGGGCGGGAGGAGGGAACACCCCCCTGCTCCCCCCTGGACCTCCCAGCTCCCAGCCCGGCCTTGCCTCTTCTCCGCACCTCCGCCTCCCCCACCCCGCCCCCCAGTGATGCTCTCCCTACCCCCTTTCACCCCTCCCCTGCCCCCTTCTTCCCTTCTCTCTCCCCTTCTCCCCCTCCCCGCCCTTCTCTCCCGGCTGCTGAAGCCAAACTTTCTGAGTCACAAGCATCTGAACGCCTCGTGTTCTTTCTTCCTCCCCGCCCCCCTCCCCAGTGGGTGCCATCCCCCCCTTCCTTGAATTTTCTCCTTTCTAGGCTTGGCTGCCCCCAATCCCGCCCTCCTTTGAGCCTCACACAGCCCAGAGCACGCTTGGCCAGGGCAGAGGAGACTGAGCCCAGCTTTCAGGAGGTCTTTATTGCAGAAGAACAGTGGGACCTCTAGGGGGGATGGGGGCGGTACCTCGGGAACTGCCAGGGGAGATTCCCCCTGGGATGTGAGTGTTCTCACCTAGAGCAGCAGCAAACAGCCAGAGACCCAGGGGCCCCCAGGACCCCTGGTAATATAGCCCAGTTGGTAAAGACTGCCTGCAATGCAGGAGACCTGGGTTTGATCCCCAGGTCAGGAAGATCCCCTGGAGAAGGAAATGGCAACCCACTCCTGTATTCTTGCCTGGAGAATCCCATGGACAGAGGAGCCTGGTGGGCTACAATCCATGGGGTTGCAAGAGTCGGACAGGATTTAGCAACTAAAGAGAGAGAGAGGGACCGCCTTTAAGGGAAGGATTTGTGTGCTAAGTCGGGTCAGCCCTGTGGCACTCTGCGACCCCATCCATGAACTGTAACCTTGCCCAGCTCCTCTATCCATGGGGGTTCTCCAGGCAAGACTACTGGAGCAAGTTGCCATGTCCTCCTCCAGGGGATCTTCCGGACTCAGGGACTGAATCCACATCTCTTTTGTCTCCTGAATTGGGTGGGTTCTTTACCACTAGCCCACCATGGGAAGCCCCAGGGGGGTGCTTCGATTCACCTGAAACTGTTCGCTGCCCCAGGGGGCAGAGGGAAGGGGGAACCCAAGAGGAAACTTGCACTGGCCTAAGAGCAGACCTCCCAGCTGGGACCACTGCAGGAGACTGAAGTAGCTGGGTGGCCGGGTCTCCTTCCCGAGATGTCTGCCTCCCTCTGTCACCTGTGGAGCCCAGGGGGCTGTCACCCAGCCCCGCTGACGGGGGCTGGGAGTGAGCAGGGCCTGCATGGAGCCAGCGCTGCCTTATGTAAACGCTTGCTTAGAACAGTCAAGAATAGGAACATCAGCAAGGATGGGTGTACAGTGCTTTCCGGGTACATTTCGGTGGAACATGTGATGTGAAATCTTTAATTAGCAGTAATGAGAGATTCATTCCTTTCAGACAGGGAGCATCTACCAGGTAGCTGAGGGGCCCGTCTTTCGGGGCGGCGGGGCCGGGGGGTGGGGGTGCGGTGGCCTTCAGGAACGGCAGTGGCTCTGGTCAGGTGTAGGATGAACAGACAATGGACACTGCAGGAACTTTGCTCAGGGTTGGTGGTTTCAGTCGCTAAGTCATGTCTGACTCTTGTGATCCCACGTACTGTAGCCCTCCAGAATCCTCTGTCCAAGAGATTCTCCAGGCAAGAATACTGGGTGCCATTCCCTTCTCCAGGGGATCTTCCCAACCCAGGAATCGAGCCCTGGTCTCCTGCACTGTAGGCAGATTCTCTACCGACTGAGCTACAAGGAAAACCCTTGCTTTGGGTGGTTGCTGTTCAGTTGCTCACTCGTGTCCAATTCTTTGCGACCCCATGGACGGCAGCCCACCAGGCTCCCCTGTCTTCCACCATCTCCCGGAGTTTGCTCAAATTCATGTCCTTTGAATCAGTGATGCCATCCAACCATCTCATCCTAACCATGCTTAGGGTGATCTGATCTAAATTTAGAATTGGACTTTGATGTTTTGGTGGGGGTTGTTGGCTTTATGTTGTTTTTGTTTATTTATTTATTGTTTTTGTTTTGTTTTTAATCATACCAGGGCCCTGCAAAGCATATTTCAGAAAACTGAAGTGAATTAAAGAGGATTCAAGATCGTCACCAGGTCTTGACTGGTCGTCAACGCAGCAGTTCTCACAGCTGAAAACAAGATAAGCTAAGAAGTATATTTTCAAATACTATGACTGTGTTTGCTTCCCTTAAAGCCTGGAAAGCAAAATTAAAATTAAGTCTGGTTTGGGTGTAAATAATATATTTAAGCTTAAAAAAAAAGTAACAACAACAGCGCTAGAGGAGGGATAGGATTCAGAGAAAGCTGCACATGGAGATCCAGGGACTCAGTGCTGTGACCACGGCTCCAGTTCTAAGAATAGCCAGGCTCGGGAGGACCTCAGGACGGGGCAGAAAGCAGAGGGGGACGGTGAGGGACTGCGGGGCAGGGACGACCACCCCCAAAGGGGCATCATTGTGCAGGAAGTGATGGGTTCGGTCTGTATCTTGATTATGACATCATTACATAATTGTCCACATTTGTAGAAAGTCATATACCAGTATATGGTATAAGTTACATAATATTATAAATTACATTGTAGTATGTAAAATCAGGACTTCCCTGATAGCTCCATTGGTAAAGAATCCACTTGCAATGTAGGAGACCCCGGTTCAATTCCTGGGTCGGGAAGATCCACTGGAGAAGGGATAGGCTACCCACTCCAGTATTCTTGGGCTTCCCTTGTGACTCAGCTGGTAAAGAATCTACCTGCAATGCGGGAGACCTGGGTTAGATCCCTGGGTTGGGAAGATCCCCTGGAGAAGGGAAAGGATACCCACACCAGTGTTCTGGCCTGGAGAATACAGGCTATACAGTCCATGGAGTCGCAAATAGTTGGACACAACTGAGCGACTTGCACTTTCACTTTATGTAAAATATTATATATAGATAATATTTTTATGTATACATTATACTAGATAATTATTACTGTATATACAAAAATTATACTATCATACGAGCCTATAAATTATATTCTGTAATGTGTAAATGGTTTGACACTTCAATGAGCTGACTTAGAAGAAGAAAACATCAGAGGCAGGGGAGGGTCATTCATGGTGAAGCTGCCGCCCATCCTCCCCGTCCACAGGATGTTGTTAGCGCGGGACTTTGACCCTCTGGGCAACTCACCCCTCCCCGGTTGGAACAAAAGGACATTGGAATAAATAAGGATGCCCTCAAGGGTCTCCCTGGCCAAGGTCTCCATCCGGTTCTGTCTCCTTCAGCACCCGCACACCCCCCAGCTGTGTCTGAGAGGGCCGAGCAGCATCAAGTCCCCATGGACCAGAGGCAGGGCCGCCCTGAAGTGCCTGCTCCACAAGGAGGTCTTCGGGCAAAGAGACCTGCAGCCCAGGGGTCCCAGCTGCTAATTATGATGTGACGCTGGCCGTGGCCGGACCTGTGGGCACTTCTAGACCTCTGCTTTACTCCCTGTGACACGGGTCTTCCTGCCTTGCAGCGTTTCACTCGGTAGCTACACAGCGGACACTTGTACCCCTAGACGCACGTCCTGGAATCTACCAGTGGGAAAGTGGAAGCCTCCTCGCAGTGTGTGAGCTTTCCCGGGTGGAATAGCTTGGCTGATGCAGGAAAAACATGTGGGACAGACAAACAAGTTGAGGGTGAATCTCAACAAAAAGCCTGACGTCCCTAGTGGTCCAGTGGCTAAGACTCCAGGCTTCCACTGCAGGGGGTGTGGGGTCAGTGTCTGGCTGGCAAGCTAAGAGCTCACATGTATGCCACGGCCAAAAAAAAAAAAAGACTACATATTTCCTTCCCCCAGAGTGGAGCTGAAATTGGTTCACTGAAGGCTCCCAGATCCTACTTGATTTTGCTCACTCTGGAGCTGAGAAAACCAGAAATTTTCTCTTCAGGGTGTGGGTGTGTGTGTGTGTTCACATAGCTGCTTTGCAGTTACTCTGCTTGCCCAATTGCTCTCTAATGTGTAGAGATGAGAAAGGAAGTCAAATTCCTTTTCCTGGGCAGCCTCAACATTCTTCATTTTTGCACCACGAATCTGCCTCCTCTTTAGATTTGGGGTCCAGGTAGAGTAACGCTGGGCTGGGAAAAGAAGAACGCACCAGCTGGAATCAATTGCTGGGAGAAATATCAAAAACCTCAGATATGCAGATGACACCACCCTCATGGCAGAAAGTGGAGAACCAAAAAGCCTCTTGGTGAAAGTGAAAGAGGAGAGTGAAAAAGTTGGCTTAAAGCTCAACATTCAGAAAACTAAGATCATGGCATCCGGTCCCATCACTTCATGGCAAATGGGGGAAACAGTGGCTGACTTTATTTTGGGGGGTTCCAAAATCACTGCAGATGGTGATTGCAGCAGCCATGAAATTAAAAGACGCTTACTCCTTGGAAGGAAAGTTAGGACCAATCTAGACAGCATATTAAAAAGCAGAGATGTTACTTTGTCAACAAAGGTCCTCTAGTCAAGGCTATGGTTTTTCCAGTAGTCATGTATGGATGTGAGTGCTGAAGAATTGATGCTTTTGAACTGTGGTGTTGAAGACTCTTGAGAGTCCCTTGGACTGCAAGAAGATCCAACCAGTCCATCCTAAAGGAGATCAGTCCTGGGTGTTCATTAGAAGGACTGATGTTGAAGCTGAAACTCCAATACTTTGGCCCCTGATGCGAAGAGCTGACTCATTTGAAAAGACTCTGATGCTGGGAAAGATTGAAGGCAGGAGGAGAAGGGGACGACAGAGGATAAGATGGCTGGATGGCATCACCGACTCAATGGACATGAGTTTGGGTGGACTCCGGGTGTTGGTGATGGACAGGAAGGCCTGGCATGCTGTGGTTCATGGGGTCGCAAAGAGTTGGACACGACTGAGCGACTGAATTGTAGAGTGTGAAGACGCTGTGTGTCTCCCTGGCCTTGCTTG